GGTCACAGGTGGGCAACGGCCACCCTCTGAGGGCGGCTCCTCAAACGGCCTTGGCAGGCCCGGTGGGAGGCTAAACCGTGCCCGTCGTGTGGTACAAGGAGGGGTTGGGGTTTTTTAAGGTCTCTGGGGTGAAGGGTTTGCCGGCACACAGTTACCTCATGAAATTGGTTGCATGAAGAGACCCTTGAACACCCAGCGTCTTGATCAGGTTTGGCATTGCTTTAAAATGCTGTAAGGCAGTTATAAACCGTTGCATTCCTTCCATATTTATCAGCAATAAAAAATGGAAAACGGATACCGAGTTTGAGAAATCATATATATAAAAAATGCTGACAAAAACTGCCTGCTGTGTGATGTGTATAGTCACTACAGTGAAGCTCTTCCATCTCCTCCTCCGTAGTTTCGTCCCATCCATTGGTGGTTTTCAGAAAAGGAAATTAAAGGCAAGGCTGTGTGTCACATTTTCGGTTAATATCAAGGTTCTGAAACTTTTAATTGCGTAAGTTGGGCCTCTAAATCTATATTTTTGCCCCAAGCATTTTTACTTCCTGAAATTTTGCTACCTACAACTTAAGTGCAGGTTAGTAAATCATAAGCACATAGCTGCTTATATCGTGACAGAACTTAGTGTTATGTAGTTACCGGGCTGCAGCATGCGAGTGTGAAACGCTGGATGCAAAAGGGGATTTTACAACTAACTTTGAAAATCAGGAATTGCCCTACATCAGAGTATCTGGGAGAGACGCTTGAAGATAACTAAAAGGATAATTGACAGAATTTTCTAATGAAGTGTTTGACACAGTGATTTCTGTTCTTACTGACAGCAAAATCTTTATTTGGCACAAACGCAGCATATTTGAGTGTAATTCTTTCTACTTAAATTCATTTCAAAATGGATTGAAAATACTATGCAGCATACAGCTAATGACCAGTAACTTCAAGGTTAGAATCTTAATGAATTCACATGTAAATTGAATATTTATATACATATTGTTTGGGGTTTTTTATTTATTGCAATGTTACTTTCTCTCAACTGTGAAAATCAACTCACTTTTAAGTAAAAATAAGGTATGAAATTCCTGGTTGCCTTGTAGATGGCTGAATCAGAACCTCAGGAAGGAAACTATGATAACATGGTAAAGATGGTGGAAGACCTGAACAGGGACTTAGAAAAACTTCTGGAGCAGATCGAAAAACTAACAGGTACAGGTCTGGATTAAGAATTATTCGGATTTGTCTACTAGAGTGAAGACATTGAAGATTTATTATTTATATTTATTGCTGTAAACTTCCGTGTGATAGAAATATAAGTGGAAATAATCACCATCAACTAATGCCCTAATGTTCTTAATTGGGAGAAAGCGTGCAAATTAGTATTAGAAGTTTCAGATGACTCAGAATTGAAAATTAATAGGTGATGGATGCTCAGTTCAGAGTGGTGATTGAAAACAGAAATACTACTAAGGTATTCAATGTACAATTATTAAAACATAGTATGTAAAATGAGATTTAATTCTGAAAAATGGTGGGATACATAGTACCTCTCAGGTCAGTGCATGGCGTGTTTCATTCCCCAGCCAGAATTTAAACTGCAAATTTAATCTTAATCCTGTATGTATGGAGAGGACTGCATATTCCCCTCCATGTTCTGCAACAATTCTGTCAGAAACTGTGCGCAACTAACAAGAATAGATGGAAACTGTTAATTAAACTATTTGTAATTAAACACAATTTATGAGTGCCATTGAGAAAACTACAGCCAATTTATGGTAAAACAAAAGGGAAAGTATGAAATAAGTGCTAAAACTATTTGCTCTATCAGTTACTCATTATTTCAAAATCAATTTCATTATTTAGGTTGTTCTTAAAACTTTTCATCTCTATGGCACAGCCTCCTTGATCTTACTGTTCCTCACCTACCACAAGCCTCCTCACTGTAACTGGTCAGGAGAGAGGATTCTTTGGTTCATTTATTTTAAAACAATCTGACGAACATTTCTTTTTGATTACCTGTTTTGTTGTAATTTTTAGGTAAAGTGTCCATCTCCCTTTTGTAATTTACATCAGTGTACTTCCATTCTGAAGTATTTTGAGACATTTATAAAGAAGTAATACTGAACAGTCTTTTATTTAATCTTGACTCTGTGTGTAGTTTCCACTTTATTTTACAGCAAGCCTTCTCCGACATAAGATCTGAACTGATAATAATTCATGTTCTTTGTTCATTTAATGAATCAGCTATTGCTTTTATTAGGCCAAAATTCCTGGCTTAGCAGTATCTGTTGGGTTTGTAGTACAGGCAACCTGGATGGCATATGACATGGTAGTCATACGTACCAACCCAGACCTGGCCAACTCCATGAGGCATTTGGAAGATGCCTTCCTGAGTTGCAAAGAAGAGATGAAGAAATGGCAAGAGGAGCTAATGGAATCTGAAGGTGAAGAGCAAAAAAAGGAATAAATTGAATTCAGTCATGCTAGCAGAACTGCATCCCTTGGAAAATCACTCCAGTCTTTTTGTTTTCCAGCCATGGAGGTTTCACAAGACACTGTGGAAAATGGACTGGCTTTCATCTTGCCAAGAACTACTTATGTGTATACATCTAGGGAAGTATTTTAATGAGATTATACATATATATTGTATTTATATATGTATAATATAATGTATTTATATTCTTGAAGGTAAAAGATAACAACGTGTCTATTTTTATTATGCTCATCAGTAGTCCTTATAGTGTGTGCATACACAACTTACATGCCTTCTGTGTCTTTCTTCCTGGAAGATCATACTCACTTTGTCGTCAATGTATGTGGAATTCTTTGACACTTGAACTAAGCAGGGGGGAGAAGTGGGGGTGCAGCAGACCATCACAGTGGCATTGCACCAGCACATGCCTTTCAAGGAAAACTGAAGAATTACTTTTTTTCCAAATGAAAAACAGGTGAAATTCTAGATTTGCAGATAGATCAGATTAGTTTGATGCAGGATTGCCAACTAGGTGTTCAGTTACAGAATTTTATTATTCAGATAGCTCAGCTGTAGTTATTTCGTTTCCTTGGATTTTTAACCATTTCTTTGGACTGTTTTTCCCAGAAAGATTGTTCTTCTCAAACCCTCTGAATGTAGCACGTTGTCATTTAAGAAAAAATTGTTTAGTGTTATGGACTGCGCTGTGTGTGGTATAGCCCGTGGGATTGCTGCGGCAACCAAATTAACCATGTTATACAACATGCTTTTCTCCATATGTTCCTACTGTGCAATATTAAAAAAAAAGAAAGAAAAGAAAAAAATAAATTTCTTTTATAGTCAAGATGTGGATTAAGAGCACCGCCTTGTGGCCTGTGGTTAATGCAGAAATGAGTATTTTATCTCTGATGGAAGTCAGTGCAAATTTTTGTAAGAGAAGGGTCTTCTTTTTCATTAAAATCAATCTCTCAACTAGAAAGTAAGCACTATGTAGCAAGTGAGAGTCTCTCCATCTCCTTTGAAGAGGCACTTGATGATTTGAATCACATCTAAAAGATCTGTCAAAAGTGCGTTAATTTTTAGCCTCTGTATTCTCTTGAGAGTGGTTGATCTTGATTCACAGAATGTTTATCCCACTGAAATGAAAAATATGTAAGTAATTTCACTTCCCCCCCCCATGCTACCAAGTGTTTCTAGAGGTACAAATGGTACCAAAGAACATAAATTTTGACCTCTACTCTTGACTTTCCAGTGGGTAGGTCTTCATTCCAGTCAAGGTAGGGCAAAATGGCAGAGCAGCATGAGGAAACTTACACTTTGATTAATCTCTGGAGGATTTTTAATGGCATGTTGTCACTTTGGTACCTTTGACTACATTGTCTTTACTCTTTAATTCTGTAATAAAAGCAAAATTATTTGAAGAGGCACTGTCTTTAACAGCTTGTATAGGAATGTGCTGAATTTGTGTGACCTTTTGGCCATAAAGTGCTAAGTATAGCTTGACCGTAGATTTTCCAGAAAGCTCAGTTTTCATTTAGACATTTAAACCAAGTGGCCAGTGTTTAAAAAAAAAAAAAAAAAAAAAAGCCTTTTTTTGAATCCAGGAGTCCCACTGAGAATAGAGAATACTGCTTGAAACCAACACTTCTAAAAAATATGGCTTTTAATTGCGACATTCAGTGAAGTTGTATCTTTTATGTAAAGTTGAATCTTATTTCCTGTGGAAGGCTACAGTAAGCGAGTCTGTCAGAATACTGTGTTTCTCCAGAGAGAAGGGCCATGAGTGTAGCTGTAAGGAGAGGAGGCATCTGGTAACCTTTGAATCCTCAAGTCTCATCACTTTACAACTTTTCCTTTCCAAATTTTGGAAAATGGAAATTTTTTTTCTGTTTAACTGCTGAGGCAGAAGGCATTACAGCACCATCAACAGACGGCATGAAAAGCACCTTAATTTTCTCCTCACCAAAAAGCAAATGATAGGCTATTGACCATCAGGCACCAATTTGGGCTCACGGAGAGGTGCTTCCACTGAGGTACCAATCACCCCGCTGTCAAGGAACAGATTGCGTTCAGAGGAGGGGCGCTGGGGATATCTGCCAATATTTGTCATCTCTGCCACCCTTTTTCTTACTCCTAGAAGTTCTCATGCATGTGGCCACAAACACCTAAAGTGTGAGCGGCAGGGACAGAAGCTGGGAAGAGAGAACGGAAGGCTGCGGCTGGGAGCACAGCGTGTACTCTGCCTGGGCTAAGTAGGCTGGGTCTGCCTCTTTCTCACCGAGATTTTCTTCCCAGCTGTGTGGTGATAACTGGAAGAGAGTTAGGGATATGCACCAGCATAGGAACAGTGCATATTCCTTGAAAAACTATACAGCAAGATGATTATACTTTTCATTTACTACCAAAATAATTTCTGTTTATTTTAGGTTGGTTTTATTTTTTTTTTTTACCTTGAGAATCTGCTTGTGGGAATTGTGAGGTTTGTTTCATGCATCTCCCCATCCACCACATTTCAGCCCAGCTAGATGCTTTAGGCTTGCGGCAGAAACCAGATAGCCCACATTGAAAACACTGATTTCTTGTCACAGGCATGCGTCACTGAAATTTTCAGTAAAAAGTATGTAGAGCAAGAGCACCATCTAGTGCTCACGTAACTTCAAACTGTAACAGTAATCCGGATTGCTGGGGTAACATCTCCTAATCCCCCATGACCAAAGATTTCCGTAATAAAAAGCATCAGCAGCACTTTAGCTTTATGCTCACGCTCTAAGCTCCGCTTTTGTGATCCGAGCCTGTACAGCACTTCCTCACTGCTGCTGCCTGTACTGAAGGCAAAGAGTGCTTCTGCAAAACAGCTACAAAAGCAAGAGAAGTTTGCACCGATGCACTGCCCATCCGTATGCCCAAATACAGCAGCAAGGAATTCTGTTTCCTTAGTTATTAATTCCTTAGCCTCTATTAAGTAACACTTAATAAGCATATCACAAATCAGTTGAAATGGTATATTTTTTTTTCCCCCTGTTATGCAGACATCTGGACAGATACTAGAATCTGTATTCACCCCAGTTCATTTTGCATGAGTAGATAGGCCAAGTCTTCTTTCCGCCATTGGCTATCAGCTTTAATCAAAAAGTGTGCGAAACCTAGCAAAGAGGTTATGGACCCCACCCGTAAAAACCCTATTATTAAGGGTAGTAGATGCTCTGGTGTTTAACACTGCAACGCTTTTACTCTTCTTGTCACAACAAAATTTACTGATCTTAGTTATGTACCTCAGCAAGGTGAGAACTGGATGCCTAAGAGCAAACTATCCAAGAGCCATCAAACCAAGCCTGGTCCAAACAGCCTGCAATGGCACAGCTCAAGGCACACGTAAATGCTTCCGAATGTAAACAGCCATCTTGCCTATAAAACAGAGGTGTGCAAGGTGTCCTGCAGCCCCTTTTTGTCTAGCAGCTCAGGTGCTACCGCACTCATCACAGCTACCTGGATTCTCAATGCTGTTTAGACTTTCCATTACAGTTTCTTACCAGGAAACAGATGAGACTTAACTAATAGGCCAGTATGTAGCTCCCTGAAATTCAGATGGTTGAAATGGTGCCCTGCTCTCCAGTGTAAAACAACTGAGAAGGGGGTATGGACATTTCAGATGTCCACTTATGCATCTCAGTCCTTGTCCGAACGTGGTCTAGAGCTCTGTTTGGAATATTTATTTCATTTAGTAGTAGTGCTTTTCAGTTCTTCATTATTACAGCCCCAACTCAGGTTGTCTCAGAAACGGCTCAAGACAATCGATACTAGCTCTTTTACTTGTTGGCATAAATGGTTTCAAAACTTCAGATCCTTGCAGCAATTTTTCCCGAAACGTGTATGTAGAGATTACTGAATCTATAACAGCCCTATTTACAAATACTAGTATTAAAATAATGGTTTTTTTAGTGGCATTCTTAGCAGAGAAAGAAAGAGCTTATTGAGAACAAAGGGGGTGAACAACTTTCCTCCAGGGCAAGAACTATATCACCTAGGAACTATCAGCATGAAAGTGGCAGTGCCTTTTCCGCGTACATTCTATTAATACTGATTTCTTTTTTATACCACTGCCTCCTCTCTGCTTCTGCATCACTGTAAAATGCATTTACATTTTTTCAACAAAAACATATTAATTATATTTTCTCGTTTTTGTTTCCAATAATTGACTGTCTACTTGCCTGGTTTTCTGTAGGTGCTCTGGGTTTGGATCATCGGAATATACACCTAGGCAGTAAGATTACAAGGTTTTGAGATTATGTGTAATTTTACACATGGATTGAGTTCTGCTGGTAACTGGAAAATTCTCTGTGGCTCCTCAGAAAGTCAAACAGTGAATAAAGAGGACACATGGCACCTTCCCATTTATAGAAAGCCAGACCAAATAAAGGCATGTGGAGATACTAGTTAGCGCAGGTTAATTTAGTGACTGTTTAAGCTCTCATGCTACATTTGGGATACCATCCCAAGGTTGTGAAATTGCTGGGATTTTACATGCAGCTTGTTGTATATACCAGCACTACATTACACAGAATATTTTAAAGGAAGAAGAGCAAGATTTAGAGGCCATTAAAAACTGTTAAGAGCACTCTCCAACTCACGGACACAAATGTGAGCATTGTATAGTGTAGTGTAAGTGAAAATAAACGGCTAGACCAGCAGTAATGAGAGAACACAGACCTTCTAAGCCTCTAGAAACAAAACCAGATTATTACAGGTACACCGTACAAAGCACATTTTCCCTCTTACCCCCTAACTGCTGTTACATGGTATGTTAAAACAGCAGAAGTTTGGCTCCAACTTTAGGTGCACCTAAAGTTGAGTTTAGGCTGACATTAACACAAGCCTAAGCTAAGACTGTGTGGATCTTCACACATTTAACCCACACCCCGCCTTTTTTAAGAGTGGATGTCTCTCTGTACTACAGACACATACTTTATGGCCAGTCAGCCTTAGAATGCCTGACT